CTCCCTCCCTCTTTCCTCTTCCTTTCTCTTTCTCCCTCCCTCCCTCTCTCCCTCCCTTCCTTTTATTTCTTTCTTCAAGATGTATGAATGACTATACACAAATGCATTCATATATTTATCCACACAAACAAAATAAAAGCTTAGTACTGAGTAATGAATGAATAAATAAAGCCAGGCTGTCCCTTTCTGTGATTATCATTTTCTAATGGTTCTAACTTTCTAAGGTAAGAAATTTTATTTCACTCAGCAGACAACAGTGTACTTAGTCAAGTGACTCAGAGAATATATATTTGAGGTGTACCTATGCACATATGACACTAATTAATAGCCAATTATAATAGTTTAAGCCTTCGCAAAGAAGCCTTAGTAGCATAGTGTGTAACATAGTGGTTGCTAAACAAAATGTTGGTAGTTATAATCTACCAGCTGCTCCATAGGAGAAAAATGGGCAGGCTAATCCTATAAAGACATACAGACTCAGAGACCTACTGGAGAGTTGCTGAGAGTCGGAAATGACTCAGTGGTGGCAGGGTAGGCCTGCCCTTAGAAGCGGGTAGAGTTGTTTGGAAAGCACCCTTTTACTTTGTAGTATAATATAATGACTGTTCAATTAGAAGTAGTATATTATCTTCAGAGAAATTTTGTTAAGGATAGTTTTCTAAAAAGAAACACTATATCCCTAGAGGAGAGTTATAAGAAAACTAATATTCTATATTTCCAAATTTTTATTCCTAGTATAAAAACTAAAAAAAAAAAACAAACCACCAACAAAACTCCCCAGTCCTTAGACACATATATTTTGCAGCAGTCTCTACATACACTTGACCAAAAGCTTTTTATATATTATTATTTTATGTGAATTCATGAAATCCCTAACTAATAGGCCTAAATGATAAACATTTGGCAGGTCAACTCAGTGGCCTAACACCCTAAACATTTTCTGGGTAAGTACCTGAGAGATGGTCTAATTGAGATTATGTCCAGAGGCAATTTATTTAAACCCCATTATCTTGTCAATTCAGAGCAAAGAACTTCCTTACTTACCATTACCCAGTTCCCAAGAAATGTTGTACTTTTTGCTGGCACTGTACTTCAACAGACTCAAGGCACTAGAACTGTTCCAGGAGTTATTGGGATTACGACGCAGTGCATTTAGAGCAAATATCAGGTGGAGTCCAGAGCAATCAGCAAAGTTATAAAGTTTGTCTAGAGACCTGGCTGGGAAGAAGCAGAGAAAGGCTTGTAACTTTCAAATCAGTATTCCAACAAAAGGAAATTATTAGCTACTATAAAAGCCTTTCCATGGCCTCCTGTTAATAGGGAATAAGAGAGGCTTTTAAAAGGGTATTATCTTTATCACTTTTAGGGTGCATTCCAAAGTGACTTTAAAAAGCATCACACACATTTCCAAGAAGAGATTGCAAATTCACAATTAATTCCGACTGAAGATTTGTTATAAAAAACAAACTGCTAAGTAGCTAGATTTCTAGCTTTTTCTCTGGTCCCATTGGGTCTGTAGTCCTTGATATCATGATGGAAATAATGTCAAAGGACAAGACCACAAAAGATGACTTGCTGTAAGTCTTGGGAAGTGCTCAATCTTGCAGCACATCCAAAACTCTTCATATCTTAGTTCCTAATATTTTCTTGTGTGGAAATGACCACAATCATGTTTCATAGGTAAATACCATCAATTCTATTAATCATATACCCCACAGTCACACCATTCCTTAATTTCTATTACGACAGTCCAGTTATACTTGCATAAATTATCACAATGATGTCTGTATTTTGTCTCACATACTTTGGGGCACATGGCCAGGAGGGACTGATCCTTGGAGGACATCAAGCTCAGAAGAGAGCAGCGCAGGAGGGGCAGCGCAGGAGACGAAGACCTTGTATTAGATGAATTGATTCAGTATCAGGGGTAATGAGGGTAGGTGTTTTGGAACCCGTGAGATTGGCTCAGGATAGGGCAGGCTTCAAAGCTGCTGTATATAGGGTTGCTATGGGTGGCAAGCAACTTGACGGCACATAACAACGACAACTTCTATATTCTCTCCCACTTTGCCAGGTTCATCTTCCTCCAAATCATTCTTCTCAGTTTCACGTACTCCTCAAAATCTCACTGAATTTCCCCAGATGTGTTTTCAAGGCCCCAGTGAGTTCTTTGTTGGTCAGTCTGTCCTACTTACCATAGATTCTCCTGCTTTTAACTCTAGCTCTTCTCACTTGGCATGACTTAATTCCTTTTTACTAGATTTTACATGTCTTTTTAGGCAGTATTCCCAAGATTTGGATGATATTATTTTAGGCAGTTCACAGAAAAAAAAGTTCTTTTCATACTTATGTTCAGAGGTTTAGAGTTTCTCAACTGGGATTCTGGGAAATGTTAGGATACCACATATGTCCTTAGGGATCTCGCAAGACAATGATGTACAGTGATCAAGCAGCCAGCCCTAGGAGCAATTTTGTTACAGATGTTTTAGACCTATGAAGTAGGTTCATGATCATGATCACTTAAGTCCATTAATAATATATTTAAATCAGAATACGGTGGCAGCAGGAGAGAAGAAAGGAAAGGGCTGTTGCTTCCATTTTCAATTCATTATATTGTAGGAGAAAAGATTTCTTGTTTAAGAAGCATAAAGAGTAGCAACAGAAACTTTCTCATTTCAGCTGAAAGTAAAAATATGAATTTGTTTCATAGTCAATCCAGAAATGAATAGCTACACAGTTAGAAGTTAAAAGTTTCACGTCAAAGAAGCTAATTTAATTACTTATTTTTTAGTTTAAATAAAAATTTTATATATATTTAATAAAATTTTGGGTCTATTAAAGATATCAAAAAGCATATATATATATATATATACATATATATATATTACATTTTAGGCTACATGTTTACTCATATTGTTTTCACTTGTAGCTTTAGTAACTTTACTACTCAACATTGTCAATATATTTTAACATTGAAAGTAACATTAATTAAATTGCTGTTGTTTTTGTTGATCACCTTCGAATCTAACATATCCATATATTTTATTTGGGTTTCAACCACTATGTATAATATAAAAAAAGCCTATGTTCCCCTTATGAGGTTTTCAAATTCACAAAAAAGGGGAGGGGTAAAGGATTAATGTAATAAAATAAATTCCACTGCACTATTTTTCTTTTTAAGAAAGATTCCCTAAAAACATTTGTGTGTGTGGGGGGTGGTTCAACAGAGGAAAGAATACTCTGTAAGTGCATTTGCATACACCACATACCACACTGCAATGACAAAAATTTGTAATAAGACTGCTAGGTCTATTTGAATAATATTTTTTTTAATTTAGTAGAAAATTTATAAAAAAAGAAAAACCGAAATATCTTTTCTCTATACAACACATCTGTATAAGAGTTGGTATCTTTTATGAAGGAAGGGAAATCATTTAAAGAGTCAGTTTAAAAGTCAGCCAACCTCACCTGAAGCAAAGGAGACAAGAAAATCAAAGAGGAAAGAAAACAATTAGTCTAAAAGATTATTGGGTCACATGACTTCCATGACCCTGAGACCAGAAGCACTAGACAGCACTCAGCTACGACTGCTGACTACTCGGAAAGAGATCTCTCTAGATGGTCCTAGATAAAGCAGAAGAAAATATGGAACAAAACCCCAAAACAATAAAAATTATCAGGCTTACTGGTCTGACAGAGATGAATGAAACCTTGAGGCTATGGCCCTTTGACACTCTTCAAGCCTGGAACTGTATAGACTATTACAACTACATGGTACACTATGTACTATGAGTACTATGTACTAACATCCTATGAGGTTCAGATCTAGTAATTTTTATCCATGTGTTTCCTCAGACTTGAGAATTATTTCAAGGGTTCTTTTAATATAAAAAAAATCTTCAGAAGGCTGTCCTAGATTTAAGAGGATGCACAGGAAAACAAAAGTCATCCAACACCAAAATAATCATGATTCAACTGACCAATTGGCTTAAACATCCTTTCTATTTAGCTATATCCCACCTAATCAAATTAATGATGCTATCTATCTCTATAATACAATCATAACCCAGAATAAATTGATTAGAAAGCTAAGTAGCAAATTTGAGCAAAAGATGCAGGATTTATTGAAATCAGTAAAAGTAAAAATCTCCTCTAGATAAAGGATCTCGTGACTTGCTTCTTTAAAGATTACTGCCTAAAGTTAAACAGGACAGCAAGCCATAAATGTTGGAAAGGATGTGGTGAAATGACAATTCTTATACACTGCTGATGAGATGGTAAAATAGTACCAGCACTCTGGAACACAGCTTGATGTTTCCTTAAAAAGCTGAACATAGAAATTCCTTCCATACGACCCAACTATTCCACTGCTAGAAATATATTACAAGAGACACAAATGGAGATTTGGACACCAATGTTCATAGCAGCATTACTCACAACATCAGAACATGGAAATGCCCCAAATGTCCTACTAAAATAGAATGGATTAAGAAATTGTGGTACATTCACATGATGGAATACCATGTAGCACTCAGGAGCAACAATTTAGAAAAAATACTATACAACATGGAAGAGAATGGAGAGTATTATGCTGAAAGGACAAATACTGCATAAGACTATTATTGTAAAAATAGAAAGATAATTAGCAAAATGTGCATGAAGGCCCAAGGAGGTAGGGGTGGGGCAGTGTGTGTGTGTGTGTGTGTGTGTGTGTGTGATCACTTGGCCACAGAATGTGGTGGGCAAAGGGAGAGGGTGAAGCAAATGGGAAAGGTCCAGCAGGGACAGGGTAATAGATCATGGTGGCTAATTTTATAAAACACAACGTATGGGAATAATTGTATGATACACACTATAAAGTGTGAAATACTACATATATGAATTTTGTATGCAAATTAATATACTTTATTTTTAAACTCCAAAATATTGATCTAAGAAAACAAAACAAAGACAAAAATTAATTACTGCCTAGGAAATACTGTTAGCAGTTTTACTCTGTTCTAGTGTTACTATAGGACAGGGTAGACTTCACTGCACACAGTAATGCTTGATAACAGCGTAAGTCACAGGCAAGTCAATAACATGAGGATCTGGAAGAATGAGATCTATTAACGGAGGTAAAAACTCCAAATTTACAAGTATGATAGCTAACACAGTAAGTAAAAGAACATAATTTAAATATTAAAAGATGTTTATCTTTTAGGATTTTCCTTAGGAAATTTTTAAAACTCCCTTAATATTTAGCACTATATCAGAAAAGTTATTTTATCCAAATAAATGTTAAAAATTCAGTTAAATAGCATTTTGCTCCTTTGATACTTAAATCATAAATGCAATGATAGCTTATATTTAAATATATGATATATATGTATTTACACTGTTTTAGTTTCATTTCTAAACTAAAATTCAAAGGAAGCTCTTTATCAAAATTTACTATACAATTGGAGGGAAATGGGAAGGATCTGGTGTAAAAACAATGTATTTGAATTTTGTAAATAAACTAGTATAATAAAAAAATTACTGTGAAAGACTAATGTACATCTTAGGTAGATGGATTGATTTTTAGGAAACTCGATGGTGTAACGTGCATACTGGGTTGCTAACTGGAAGGTCTAGATTAGAATGAGCACATTTCTCCAAGGGAGGAATATGAGACAGTCTCCTCAGTAAAAAGGGAATAAACGCAAGGTCAGCTGATTTGTTTACTGACTTAATCTTTAAATGATTTTATTTATTGATTTATTTTTAGAACTACTTATCTCCATATAGGGAGAATTTCCCATGTTTCCTTTACATGTCTTAGAACAATTATAGCATAAAAGGATATTAAATGAATGAATGAAAATTCAACTTTTCTGTAAACTTTCATTAAAATCACAATTTAAAAAAGGATATAAAATTTGTGATTTCATGGATTTGACCAGCTTAATATAAACTAAAAATTATTTATGACATTAATCAGTATCAATGCAAAGAAAATATGACACAAAACCAATGTACTTTGTTAACACGAGGGGGCAGGAAATGAGAACTAGATAGAGCACTAGGCATTTAGGAAATACTTCCCTAAATTTAAGTCCTGCCTCTTCTATGAAATGATTCCTGAGCACAGCAATATCTCTAATTTTCCTACAGCAACTCTGGGTAACAATATTCAATGACACTGGCAACTAACTCTTTGTGACGTCTCTTGTTTCACTGTGCATGACTTGTTTTCT